CCTAATGGTTTTGTGCTACATTACTTAATTGTCATACAGCTAATTAGCAATGCCTGATTTCACATTCTCTGTACGTAGATGAAGCTCACAAAAGAAGGGGCTACTTAAAACAATAAATAAAACAAGGCACCAGGCAGCCAGACCCCGACAACATTAACATAAAACGTTACACTTTACCATTTAAAAAACTGAAATAAAAACCCCATCGTGATTAAACCTATATTGATCTGTCTTCCTTCAGATCTCAGAGCTTTGAATCTCCGCAAGGAAGGGGGGAGAACGCAACGCAGGAAGCGGGAGCTTAGCGTGCGCGTCTGTGTATGTATTTCGCCAGCATGCAGCAGAGATCTTTAAAATTCTAATTATTTCCCTATCACCAAGTAAGATCGGGATCAATAGATGGTACAAACTGACCCCTTTCGTCGAGTGTCAGGGGGAAATTAAAAAAAAAGAAAGGGGAGGGCAAAACGAGAGCGTCAGAGGTCAATGCCACAAAACAATAGATATTGATGTCTCCATTCATTTCAAACAGCGGAAAGGTCAATGCCTCCCTTGCTTCATGTTTTATGGCTGAAATCCTGCTGCTAACAGCAACAATGTTAGTAGTCAGACCTCATCCATCCTTTTTTATTATTATGATTATTTCTAACCAGGTTAGCCATTTTGAAAATTTGACGAAAGCTGGGAAGCAGCAGTGGGGGGCAGGGCGGGAGGAGAAGAGGGGAAGCTGCCCTGGAAATTAATGGAAGGGCTGGTTTCCATTAGTTTTCGAGCCTCCCTGTCCCCCCACCTGTGCTCCGGTTTGTCCCTCGCTGCCCCCTAAAAAATGAAAAGGGCCCGAGGCAACATCCCTTCACTATTAATCATTATTCCCCGTACAACATCCCAATTGGTTTCTATGGAAATGATTCTCCTGCTAGAGTACCCCGGCTGCCTGCGCATCTAATCAGAGGCAGGAGAGCTTCAATTAAGGAGATTTGCCTCTGCAATCCCCAGCATGGCTCGCATGGCTCCCTGCACGGGGCTCCTGCAGGCAGGGCCCAGGAGCTTTGGCCGGACACTCGCCGCTGGGACTGGCCAAGGGGGGACCACGTCTCCCTTAAGCAGATGAAAAAACCCTTCTGCACCGATTAACTCCACAAACAGGAAAGCCCCACAGTTCCGTGGCCATGGGGGGATACCCCACCCTAAAAAAGGGCTGCTGGGAGAAAGCAGCCGGCACCTCACAGCGCACAGTCCCGCTCCCGTACGTCCCCCCAGGACTTTCACGCCTCTGAAGATCAGCAAGGCGGAGGGACAGGTCCTGCTCTGCTCCCCTGGGAGCCTTGCATGCCTCGGCAGAGGAGGAGGTGGTCACGCGAATTAAAGTGGGCAGGGTCGCTGCTCTGCTCCCTCCATTAGCGACCCCAGCCCTGCCCTCTCCTCCCAAGGGAGCACCACCTCGCCTCGGGGAGAGGGGAGAGCGTTCTGCATGCACTCCTGCAAGCTCCCTCGTGCCAGGCGGGTGAGCCCTCCTCCCCTTTCACACGTGGGGAAACTGAGGCCAAGTCTCACAGAGCGCGTCTGACTTCCAGTTCGAGGTCCCCATCACACTCCTGCCCTGCCACTCCCGCCTCTTCTCCTCCTGCCAAACCATCTCCCCGCCAGACGAGCAACTACAATGCAAGCTCTCCTGAAGGGAGAGGCCGTTGCCACACAGCCCCCTTTCCAAACTGAGCAGTGGATGCACTGCTGTTTTCTAAAGAGACCGTGAAATCAGCTTTGCAGAACAGCTGAGGAAGCAATCCTTTAACCTGCAGTCCTTCTAAGAAACCTACCAAAAACACTGATGACTTAGCCCCACCAAATTCCCCGCACTAAACCCACTGTCACTCTTCAGGTCTAGACCCTCCCAGCCTGCAGGAACCAAATGCCACGTTGCTAAACAAGACTTCGGACATTAGCAGAGCAGCAAACAACTTCAGATTTTACCCGCTAATGGCACTTGTCCCAGAATATCCTTCTCCCAGAGAAGCACAGACACCTCGTTGGTGGTCAAAGCAAAGATTTCTTCTGCAGTCCGCAAAGATTGGAGGTCTGATTTGGAGCGCAGGAAGAAAACGTGCCCGCAGGGACTGGGAATCCTGCAGAGGCAGCCCCTGCGAGAAGGGCACCTTCTGTAATTGAATTCATTTATTTTGGACTACGGACAGTGGCATCAGCAGGCTCAGAGATCACCTCATTAGATGCTCACAGAGAGCGGGAGAGAGATTTCTGGAGAGATGGGGACAGAGACCAGAGAAAAGGAGGGGGAATTTTATATTAAATAAAAGCTAGGAACAAAACACCCGTCTCTCCGTTCTCTCCTCCTCCAACGCTGCACGCCGGAGTCTCAGCGCTGAGTGGGCTCCGAGTCCCATATATTGCTCTGCTCAGAACATATGGTGCTATGTTTAATAGCCCGGCTCTGCCAATTGGGGACTATTAGGGTGGGTTCTTTTCCCAGTGTAAATGTTGCAGAATATAAATTGTAATTAACACCGATGCCAAAATAGCACTTAGAGAAAATAAGCACATTATTAACATCTGGTGAATCCTGCCTGGAGTGCAGAAGCAGCGGAAATTCTCACTCACCATAAGAGGATTTGTAGTAGAGATATCGAGCATTGGCCCAGAGTTGGGGAGTCAGGGGTGGAAGGGGTTTTTAGCTCTTTACCACTATTTGTGGTGCTATCTTTATTACCTCTGGGTGACCTTTCCTAGCCCCGATTATAACTGGTACCATTTGCATCAGGACTTCTGACCCACTTGCATGAATACAGATGTCTAAACATCATACTCCAGGCAACAGAATAATGGCGTTATAAAACATGCCTGATTGCCTGCCCCAGTCTAGCAAGACATGAGGCAGATGGGTATCGCTTTGCCAAGCAAAAGGTACAGCATGTTTCATCAGGTTACTCTAACCCCCAAGACCAAAGGGTTAACACCACCATTAAGCAACAGGTGTTTTCTTCTCACCACTGTCCCCCAGTCCAGGTTTTCCAGCGGGACAGGAACAGGCGAGCTGGCGGTTCTGCCAAACTTGCCGGTGCCACGGCGTGTACAGTGTATGCGGAGGGGAAATCCCTGCTGAGGGTGGGAATGGCCTCGCTCCTGTAGCACTTACCGAACATCGAACATCGGGATTCCTCCACAAGACAAAACAGGTTCCCTTAGGCATTAGAGAGCTGGCTCCATACCCTCAGCCTTCCCTCTACCCTGCCCTGAGGCTAGAGGCACAAGGAGGAGAAAGCAGCTTTGCTAAGCTTCAAACAAGGAAGAGAAAGCTTTGCAAATGCTCACAGCCTACTCCTCGCTATTTATTCTAGGAAAGAAACCCGGACAAAAACCAGTCAGAGCTGAAGTGGCCCGAACCGGACAGAGCAGTGGCTCGTGTTCCTGCCAAAAAGTACATCTGATTTGCTGAAGTGAGGGAAAAGGAGAGAAGAAAAGCTGTTGGAGAGGGAAATAGGTATTCAAACAGGCAAGTAATATGACAAGAGGTAGAAAGAACGACC